TTTTATTTCTGCACTATTTAATAAATTGCTTTATGCTCGAATTATGCGTATAGACATTTAGTATATTATATTTATTTATTTATTTATTATTCTTTTATGTATATATTTATATTCATGGGCGTGGTCAAGGATAGGGGTTCAACTCCCAATGGACTCTATACAATTATAAATATTTATTTATTTCGCATACACAAATTTTTATTTTTTATGAATGTGAACACGATTTTTCTTAGTAAAATTGATCCTATCAATAACATCAGGGGTGGTTTTCGATACCAAATAATGTATTAGTTCATTTTATATTTCTCAATCGTTTTCCCAATAATTGCGGAAAACCGATGAAAAATTGCGATAAAACTATACCATTTACGGAATGTCGAAATGTAGGTACAAATTTGAATGAAAATCGCTTCACAAATTCAATTTTAGTAATTTTTTTAGTTTCTAATTCTTCCATTTTTTTTTTAATTGTTATTCTATGTCTTGAGCACTGACTTCGTAACGCTATATAAGTATCAATTTGTATATTTTTTAAAATATCTATAGAATTAAAAATATTAGGGTGATAAGAATTAAACGAACTATTTAATTTCCATGAACAGATTCGCAATTATTAGTCGTGCGTAATGTCGATGATAAATATTCTGACCATATATCTGGTGGAAAGTCAACGTTATTTTTTATATATGAATCTAATATATAGTCTACTACAGTAAACTACTACTGTAAAATTTAGCAAATAGAGAACCGGATATATTCTTTTGATACGAGTCGTTATTACACCTGTACACCTAGACACGAGCCGCTACTGACCTATGGAAATAAAATCCTACAAACAACATAGCATGTAAACAAAAAAGCTTGACAGACAATTTTTTAAAGAATATACTTACATAAAAACAGTGGTATTTTAAACTTGAAATAAAAAAGTTTAGGCAGATAATTTTAACGGGCAAGTATGCAAATTTTTAATTTTTCCTTTACTACATGGATAATGTTAATTTTTTACTGCTAGGTGCCTCGAAAAATCGATTTGCCCAGGGCATCCGAAAGTCTTAATCCGGCCCTGGTAATTATTATTGAAAAACATAGAGTCATGGAGTTATGAAGTAATACAATATTTTTTGTGTAGTATAACATAGCGCCGTATTGTGGTCGCCAATCGATATGAATTACAATTCATTGATTATCACACCGTAATAGAGTTGCAATTTTATAATACGTACGCTGTACGCGTAATACATTTGTATTGCGTTGGTTATATCTATAATAATATGTCATATTATTCATCGGCTTAGGTCTGCTGCAGGTGCTTCCTAAACGTTTTACCGTACATAAGATTATCCTATTTAGGGTCGGGACGCATTTTACAAAAACGTGCTCCGCAAAAGCACTCTGGCTCTTACAGAGCACAGTACTTGATGCTCAACATGTACGCGTAAATCCTTATTTGATGCGTACGAACGTCTGTGCGAGCAATATTGAACGTGGATCTCAGCTGCATTTACCGCGCGTCGTCATAATCCATTCGCATGTGCGCGCCTACCTCCGTTCGCAACGATTCACGTAAACCGGTTCGCGGTCGGGAAATCGTCGTCCAGAACGCGCCAAAGCAGATAATAATAGTAGTACAAATAAAAACAAGAATAATAACACATATTGCAGTAGTGCGTTCAACGGAGAGTTGTGCGATCGCTAATGTACAATACTGCCTTACAAAGTGAAAACATACGGTTTTTCTTTCGCTTATCCTGCTATTCGTCTGCGAGTCGGTTACAGCAGTATAAGTCGAACAAATATACCTACAGTTTATATACAATTAAGGTATATCTTTAATCGTGATAGTAATACGGCTAACAAAAAAAAAAAAAAAGTGTTTAGAAAATTATTTGTTATCTGTTTGATATACCATTTGATAAAGTGTTATAAATATGTAAAATCAATAAACATTTATAATTAGTGGCGCACACTCATTCTTACAGGCATGGGTCGAACATATTGTATTAATACCAACCAACCACCCATTACCCATAAACATTAGCAAAGCAACTTCAATAAAGGTAATTTCGGAGCTTAAGGTAGTGGAACTTAGCACTTAAGGCATGAGCTTAGATTCAATCAAGTTTCACATGTTCAAAATTGAAATAACATTTAGAAAATTGTAAATATTTTTAACCATCCAATTTTTTTTTGAGTGGGTCGACTGACTCCCTTAACCCATGAGGTGTGGACCACTGTTTATAACAGTTTACAAGGGGAGTTTGAATATCTTAATCCACCCCCGCTTTTTTTTGGATCACATCTATACTTCATTATATTATGTATAATATAGATACCCAATCACACAAAATTATATTATTAATTTAGTTTTATTGGCTTATAAATTATATTGTTTCTGTATTTATGTTTATTGTGGTACCTATAATGAATATATATTATGATGGTGGGTAAACTCATAAATTTAACAATACGTTTTATATCGACAATTAAATTCACAGCAGTTGGACATATCAATAATTAAACTATAATTTTATTTTCACAGCAATTTCAACAAAAATATTTTTATAACTTAAAAATATATACCTTTTAAACTGTGAATTTATTCATGTTTAATAATATATAACATACAGCTTTCTGATTAAAAAAAAATATTAAATAATAATAATTGTTTTTTTAGAAAATGTAGAAAGTTAAAGAATTTACGGATATTCTAATATAGTTAAAAATATTATAACATAATAAAGTAAATATGTTTGTAATTTTTAATACTATTATAACTAATATTACATAATTACCTATATTTTATTAGATTTTATTACTTGTTAATCAGTTGTCTATTTATATTATCTATTTATTGTTTAATTTTACCAATTTTATCAATATTTTTTTGTGTCAACTAGTGGAATATGTATATATAAATAATTAAAGTAAATATATTTGATAGATATTTAAAAAATGAACGCAAAATCATTTAAATAATTATCTTATTTTAACATGACATTTAAATTCAGTAGTTGAGCGGTAGTATACCTATTAGTATTTGAATGATTAAATTTATAACAAAAATTAAAATGATAAAAGTTTCAGTTATGAGATTCTTTTAAGTTTCTTATTAATATTATAGCTTTTAGTTCTGAACAAAGCTAATTGGTTAATTGACACTTATACAGTAACGCAAACTCAATCTTACCAACATGGGCCGAACATATATTAATAGCGACCATCCATCCACCCCAATATTATTAAAATAGACTTTATCGCACAATAATATATTACCATACACTAAGTGCATGAATAATATTATTCTTTGTAATGTAGCCTATAAAACATAACAATAGTCAACGACGATCTACCACCCAATTGTTTTAGGGAGGTCGACGGTCGACTGACCCCCTTAACTTAGAACGTGTGCGCCACTGCAACTTTAACTTTACATCACTAAAAAATAAATTAATATTTTGGAATTTATAAAATAAAGGGGCGTGGTCTTAAATTAAAAAATATTTCATAAAACTGATCGTTATCGGACAGTGTTTTAATTATAACATCATATTTTCAATCCAATCGATTTGTCTACACTCATTGTCTCATATTATTTAGTAATAATTTCAATTGTATTGATAATTTTGACAGTTCATGCCTACATGGTCCCTTGGAAATCGATGGCTAATATGTTTAATGTAATTTAAAAAAAATTTATTTTTCAATATTCATTTATAACAATACCATGAATTTCTCAAAGTATAAAATAGCAAAATACTTCTATTGTTACAACCGTTAGTGTGTTTAAAATAATTACTAGATATTGAGGTACCAAAATAATTCATTCCTGTTAATAACTTTACTTGTGCATAAATATTGTGGTTTTTCTCCTTAAATAATTTTTTTTATATAAATTAAGATAACGTTAATTAATCATAAGTAAAAAAATTTTAACTTTCAAATTATTAAATCATTAATAATTTAAAACTTATTTAGTTTAAATAAAATGTTATTAAATTAAGAAACATAAAGCCATCGCAAAAACTTTTAATAAATAATAAATAAAAGTAATTTTTAATTTAAGTTTATAATTTATTTATACAAGTAATAATAAAGTTATATTAATTGAAATAGATTACTTATGGTATGAATATAGTTTATAAGGAATCATAAATATATAATATTTTATTTCATCGGGCTTACATTCTTTATAGTCAAGTTTTAAAATAAAGACCCTGTCATAATATTAAAGTTTGATGTATTAAAAATATATTGTCATGTTCTGTAACCTGTGTAAAAATATTGATTTATATTATATATAAAGAAAAGTTGTTAAACCCAGATAAGAATTAAATACGTGCAGTATTATTTTTATTTTGGATAAATGTACACAAAGGCTAAATTTTTAAATGTTTTATTTTTTTAATTTAGAAAATTGTACTTAATCTTATTTTATTGAAAAGAGTGAAAATGCATAATAACAGTGTATAATTTAATACTACTCTTTTTTGTAGCTTAACGTAAACGTGAAGTGGTATGCAGTGGTGTCATAATATGGTGACATTGGTGACACAATTATATGCAGTCAAACCACGACAAACGACACTACGGCAGACCTGATGACCTATAGCCTAAGCTAAACCATAATTTAAATTATTTTTATGGTGAAGATAATTTGTACCAAATTTAAGTATAGTTATATAAATTTATTATTTTTTTCTTATGGTTAGTATTATATTTGGCTTACAATTAGCTAACGAATAATATAACATTTTATTACATTATCAATCATTTTTATAATTTAATAGAAAACGTTTATGAATGATTTTTTAATTTATTTATTTTTTATTTAATTTGCCTTTTTCGTAAACATTACAGCAAATTTTGAACAATAAATTAATTATTTATTATTATTATTTTTTTAAATGATCCTGATCATATAAGGTCCGTACCTTTGAGAAATGCCACATTAAAAAAATCATTGGTTATAATCTGGATTGTACACAAATATTTAATCTAAAATTTTATAATGAAAACAATTAAAATATTTTGTTTCAATCGTATGAATATTATAAAAGGCTAATTTAATACCCGATTGTTGATACTTAAAAACGTTTTGAAGTCGAGCACATTCCTCCTCCTGCTCTTCAGCAACTAACTACTTACTTCGTAATATTCGAACAAATAAATGCTCACTCCCTCGCCGATAAACATGTATAAACACATAAATGTGTATACGCACACGCCGTAGGCCAATTTCACATTGTTAATCCGGTTTAGAATTCGGATGGAAATTGAGCGCAATTTAACTACGTGCGTGCGTGCGTGTGTGTACGTGTACGTGTGTGTGTGTGTGTACGGTGTATGTATTTAATCCTTAGGAAATATCCAGAAAAACGGGGACGGCAACAAATAAAAATATATGTGTATAAAAAGTCGTTTAAATGTCGGCGTAGTATAAAAAATCATAATTTTTGGACCACTCTTTTTTTCATTTCGTACACGTAAAAAACTATACACATATATTTTTTTATTATTCCTCCCGACGTACTGCTCGGGTTGCTAAAATATTGATTGTCGGATAGCTGTTCCGCTCCGTTGCTGAGGACCGCGCGGCGGCGGCGAGAGTGAGTGTAGGACGCTTTTTTTTAAACAACGTTCTCCTACACACACGCACACACGCGCGCGCTCGTACGTCGCAACGCGCACAGGGTTCGTCTGGGACGTACATTTGGCAACGCCGCCGGGTTGTTCGGCGGCGGCGGCGGCGTCGCTCCCTCTAGCGCGCGCCATACGATCGTCTCGTCGTCTCGCGCGCTGGTATTTTTTTTCTCTATTCTGTCCCGTCTTTGCTGCCCGCCGCCGCCGCCGCTACCGCCGACGACACCGCCTCCGCGCGACCGCGCCACTCATTCCGGTTCTATACCGTGCGCGCGCGCGCTCGCTCGCCGGGTTTTTTCAGTCGCCCCTTACCGCTCCACCGCCTCTTCCTCCGACGTTTGTTATGTATGCCGACGGCCAGTCGCACACGCACCGCCGTCTCCCCCGATTGTATAGTATCCGCCGTAGCCGCTGAGCCGGTGTTTACGGTCCCGCCGTTCGCGAGTGTTTTACGGATCCCGCAGAGCTTTTTTCCGCGTCTCCGCCGACACCGCCGTTGTGGTTCGTCCGCTGCGTAAAGAGGACAACCGTAAAGTATAAAAAATCCAAATCAAAAGTTATTTCAACGTTATTGCCGCGTGACAACTATTCTTCCATCGTTCCTCCGTTCGTATCGTATACTCATTATAATAATACCACGCACGTCGCTCACCGTATCATCACGAGTCATGAGGACTCCCGCTGATGTCCACATGATTACTGGCTACATTACTACTTGGTAATATCAATATAATATAATAAAATACTTTTGCTCCGACCGTCGACGTGCGATGCAACGAAAGTTAGCGCGTAACGAAATTCAAAATCTTTTTGCTCGCACGATGATAATAAATTTATCCTTTTTCAAATTCCCGTACGCAGTGTTTACGCGCTATCGGTGTGCGGTAACACTGCGCGCGCGCGCGCGCGCCGTTTTCCCTCGCAACTGTTACTGCGATTGTGCGATGGCAGTGACAACCGACAATAGTCCGTTGGGACGGTTATTGTTTTTTCTGTCGGTTTGTGTCGGGTTTTTTTTATTCCATTTTCAAACATTCATTGTTCTTTTTATTTTTCGTTCGAAAACCGCGTGTAATATTTTTCTACAAGCGTCTATCTGATGGACACTGACGGTGATGGTAAGATGGAAAGCGACGATGAGTCATTTGTTGTTCAGGATATGAGAAGACTCAGCTTTGATGGTGAAAAAAGTACTCCGGTGAAGGTAGTCACTACCTGCGCGTCTCCGGATGGCAATCAGTTGTTCTCGCCTTTGCTTGGAGTCAACTCTTCTACGCCATTCCTCAAACCTCCTGTCATACGCAAGGTGCGTCCTAGGATTCTGTCTCCAATGAGCGATGCCAGTAGCTCTGAATCTATTCGCTCCAACAAGTTACGCATGTCAGTCAATCCATTCACACCAGCTGGCATCGCAATATTAAAAAATAAACATAGAAAGAAATTGTCTTCAGGGCAAAATGATATTTTCACTGATAGTATGAATCCCAGTCTTAATTTAACTCCACCCGACAATATGTTTTCAACTCCAATTGATCAGTCCATTAAAGATCTTATAAACGAAGGAGAAGTGACTAATGTCAGTATATATGAGTTGCAAACCTCCCGTTTCAACGAAGAATTCAGAATGGATAGTTTTATTGCTACTGGTACTTTTGGGGAGGTATTCAAGTGTACAAATCTACTAGATGGAATGACATACGCCATTAAAAAAACCAAGAAAACAATATACAATAGTAAAGAGCATTTCATTCGTAAAGAAGTATATGCACATTCAGTGATTGGACGACATCCAAATATTGTGTCATATTTCACAGCATGGCATGAGAAGGGTCACATTTATATTCAAACAGAATTTTGTAATGGTGGAACTCTAGAACATATGATCCATGAATCTGATCACATATTCTGTGATAGTGCTCTAAGACGACTATTGTGTCATGTGTGTAAAGGTCTTGCTCACATTCATTCAAAAAAGCTTGCTCATTTGGACATAAAAGCAGCGAATATATTAGTGTGTCTTACAGATGGTACATCATTGTTTGCTGAAGATATAGATGATGATGAAATAGTTGACAAAGACATTGTGTATAAGATCGGTGATTTTGGACATACAGTATGTATTGAAGATGTTCGAACTATTGAAGATGGAGACTGTCGATATTTACCTAAAGAATTATTACGTGATGATTATTCTCAGTTACAGAAAGCTGATGTATTTTCCACTGCCCTAACTGTATATGAGGCGGCAACTAAAAAACATTTACCTAAAAATGGACCTGAATGGCATCGCTTAAGGGATGGTGAATTTTCACTGCCAAAAACTCCTGTTGTTAGTACAGGACTAGAAAAAATGCTGAAAAAAATGGTCGATTTAATACCTGCCAATAGGCCTAATACTTCTACAATTGTCAATATGTTGCTTGATAGAGGAATGGCTGCTGTAAAACAACAACAGAATGAATTTGAAGTATGGAAATTAAGTTCTAATTTTCTTACACCATGCTATTCTGTTGAAACACAAACACCAATAAGAATAACTACTGGACTTAGAAGATATGAAAACTCAAAACTCAACCAACGTACTTATAAAGACCGAATTAAAAGATTAGTTGGAAGAAACATGAACAAATCACGTAGTGCTCATACTTTCTCAACTAAGTCATAATGTTATTAATTTAATTTACAATTAATATTAATTACAGTTCTTTATTTCTCACTTCAATAGAAGAAATTTTTTGAGAATCATTAGCATATATTAAAAAATATTTAATTATTAGTTGTTCCCTTTGATTTTTTTTATGATTATTTTTTATTTAGTTTCATATCATTGTTGATTATTAATCCATTGTGATAATGTATGAAAATTATTTTCAAATATAATAAGTACCTAACTAATGTAATTAAAAAAATGAGTATATTAAGTCCAAAAATTACTAAGGATTTTAAAGCCTAACTACTTATACTTAATTATAAACTATATACCTTTGTATCATAACTTTTTGATTTTTGATCAAGAAAAATTTGTTATGATCAACTATTTAATAAAAATTGTCATTAAAAATAAATAAACAGACATGACTAATTATTATTATTTAACTTGTATTAATAATTGTATTGTGATATTGTTTTGATCTTAGATATATATATATATAAAAATATTTATGTATCAATTTAAAATTAATAAAAATAAATATTTTTTTTGTTCTTAATTTTGTTTGAAATGTGCAGTTTTTAAAAATATTAATGTATTTTTGTATTAGTTGTAATTACATTTAAGAAGAATATTTTATATAATTAATTTTTTTAAGTATGGTCATTCTACTATAGTATATTCATTATAGTAGATTTGAGAAGATTAATAATTATTGATCATTTATAATAACTCAGTAGTAACTCAGTAGACTTTGTTAGTTGGGGTCCATCACTAAAATTTAAAATTTGTCACTTATACAATTCCTTATTAAGTAAATAAAAAAATATTTTAATATTCCTAATAGTAATTGGTGATAAATATAGAATCAACTAATTTAGAAACTGTTTTATGTTTATAGTTGTACTTATAAATATATGAAGAACAGTAAGTTGTCCTCAATTTCTCATATTTTTACTTTGTGCTGGTACTTATAAACAATTGTATTCCTTGTTTCCTTCTTAAACAATAACTTTTGCAGATAGACACCATTCATAAAAAAATTATTTTACAAACCAAATTAAACCTATATATAGTTACTATTTATACAGATGAATAAATAAAAAAAAACAAGTTCTAAGTAATCACATTTAAAACAAAAAATGTTTGTGTATTTAAGTGGATATAAAACACTTATTAATCTCCGTATCCCTTAGTAAGATTTTCAGTCTTTTATATAGTAGACATACATGCTATCCAATATCAAATAAAATATCTTAATTATTTTAACTGTAATGTATCAAAGTAATAAATTACTAATATATTATTATAATAGGTAACTGTTGTTACAATTTATTAAATTTAGAAAAATTATCTCTTAGCTTTTTTTTTCATTTAATTATACTCGTATATACAAAATGTCTATTATTATTTTATTTGTATTTTATATTTGTAGGAAGTGATGAAGGGGATATTATGGCAATCAATTTCTCAGCATCATTTGCAGCATGTCTGGCAGCAGGCCTCAAAGTTCCTCGGAATTTTATGTATTGCATTGCTCAAGGTAAATAACAATTCCTATTTCTTTCATTGTTATAAACTTATTTTGCTAACTCATTTCTCAAAAAACAATTCAATTTTTTACTTTAATCTACAACTTATAGCTAATACATTTATGTAAAATACATGCAAACATTTTCATAAATATTTGGCTTTATGGCTAGGACTATTTCAAGAGACCACTTATTAGGGCTGAAACTGGATTATAAATGTAGGTATATCTTGTAACCAAACCACACAATATGATAATTTAATATGTGTTTATAAGTTTCTTCATAATTGTCAATGAAAACATTGACATTTATTTTATCTTATGAAGTCTTACATAGGGTGGGGTCCAGCATAGAGATGTTTTATTGTACAATAAATTAACCTATAGCATAATTTAGGGATAATATAATATAATATATAATCTATAATCGACAAATTTTAAAAATATAAAAAGTCTTTAAGAGGCCAAATTTGTCAACAAATTGGGTCAGCTGACTTTCTGAACCCCCTTCCCCTAGATCCACTCTTGTATATGACTATATGCACTTATCATACCAATGAATCTAGCATTAACAAAAACTCATATTTTTAATAATTATGGTTCTATACACTATAAGATACAGGGGCGTATTTAAGGGGGTGATATGGGTGTTGGAACACCCCCTATCAACCGTATTTTATGATATTTCACCAAATTGCAAACTTAATTACAGTATAATTTAACTAAAAGTAGGTATATGTAAATATAATCATTTTCATTAATATAATAATTTATATAAATACATGGAGTAGAGGGGGGGCAGAACCCCCACTTACTATGAGTCTATTAAATTTTAAAACACCCCCGTTAAATGAATCCTGGATACGTCACTGATAAGATATGTATACAAACATGGATGTAACTTGGGCAATTTTATGGGTGAGAAGGCAAGCTTTATTTTATGTTTATATTTAAAGACTAGATGTACTTAATCTGCATCATAATTTTTTGTGATGGCAAATTCCAATAAATATTTTCAAAATTAGGCATGTATAAAATAACTAATTACTAAAAAAAAGTAAAGTATTGTCGAGAATATTAGTTCACAATATCGAAAATATATTAACATATAGTTATAACTTTTTAAAAATAAAAACAAAAGATAGGTAGCTACTTTATTTATACATTTTAGATTCTGAGCGGAGCGAGGAATGTATTGCTTTTACAATGATGTTTATTTCTTTTTATTTTTTATTCTGTAAATACTTCTTCTCCTTATAAACTTGCTCAAAAGAATCAAGTGTAGCATCTTTTCTGAAAGGTAATGTTCTTGAGTTGGTACGTTAGAGAGGTAATTTTTCGATTTTCGAAACGGTACTCGAAATAAAAGCGGTTAAAGGAGAAAAAACATACGATTTCACGTTTTTATAATATTAAATAATTACGGACGACGTTTTCTACCAGAAATATTGCTTAAAATAAAAAATGACAAGTGATCTTTTTTGTTGTATTTTAAATTTTGTTCCTTATGGTTTAAAGTTCGAAACATTTTAGCAATTTTTGAGCTATTTATAGACATTTTAATTTTTGGAGTTTTTTTTTTTTGTCATTCGGTTAAAAACATTCGTAAAAACTTGAAATTTGGGTTATTTGCTTATATTAGCCTTACCTAGATTTGGTAAAATTTTCAAAACATGAGCGACTTTTGATTTTTATTTTAGAATTACCTATATAAATATTTTTGATAAGTACCTACTATTTTTTTTCTTGTCTATAGGGGGCATGGTAGTTATAGGGGCGGTGGGGGTTTGTCCATGAAAATGAAAATATTAGTTCATCTATACAAAAAAAGTTAGATTTTAATGCAAGGAATAAATTTACCTATGTATACTAGGTAGTATAAAAACAATAGATAGAAAAATATTCATTATACACAATTAAATAAAAAAGATTCCCTTGTCCGCCCAGAATCGTTTTTTATCGAATGCAATCATTGTATTCAAATCGAATACAGTAAAATTACACTATCCTGTCCGAGGTTATTTTTCATTTACAGTATGATTTCTTTTATATGTAACATTAAATAATTCTGTCTTAGTGAAATTGGATTGAAGTAGGATGTTTTTTTAAATATTTTGAGACTATTGAAATACAAATGTTTTTTATAATTTTAAAATTGTTAACCCTTTTATTGTGCCTATGCGCAATACAACTTGCATTTTGTTAAATAGCAATACCTACTTTCAACAACCAATTTGGATAAACTGATTTTTTTTAAGTCAGTTTTGTCCTTTATACCATAGCTCTAAAACTAAAATTGACCGAATGACAACGAGTTAAAGTTTTGATTAAAATTATTGAATTATTCTAAAATTTTTCCTAGAATTTTATGAATTATTATGCAATTTTACGTATTTTATTTGTATTTGTAGGTTTGCAGAAATTATTGAATCATTTATATTTAATTTGAGGAATTAAATAACTTCAATTACGCCTTTGACATAAATGTTAGTTAATTTACTAAGAAAAATGAAACAAATTAACACAATTTTTTTAATTTTGAAATCAAAGTACCATTGCACTCGAAAAAACAATTCTAAGTGAGAGGTTGATCAGTTGATATTGTAAAACTAAATTTCTCAGTAGATTATAGTTTTAATGTTCTACATTTTTCAAAAAAAGGCATTTAAATTTGGGAAAATCTAAAATTTAAGTTCCTATACATAAAATAATAATTGTTAGAGAATAAAAGCACTTCTTTTCATGATTAATAATGTTAATAAAAGATTATTTTCATATAGTATATGAAAACTTATAAATATAATTCGTAATGATCTCTTGATAGGGTTCATCTTAAACTGTATGTAGTATATCAATTACCTTTATAAAACTTAATAAATACTATTACTTATATATACAGGCACAATGCGTTAATGTTATTTTATAAGACCTCAAATGATTTATATAACTGTTATAGCATTACTCATTGTATTTTGTTCTTCAGCAAAATCAACAATTTGGTTAAGATTAGGTACACTGCTAGATGTCTCAGATCTTCTCATTATTTTAATTAGAAACATTATATATGAATTATCGACAGTCAACTCGTGATATAACGAATTTCAAGGAACCGAGCAAAAAGTTCGGTATATCAAAAGTTCGTTACACCAAAATTCACTGTATCAAAATCATAAATCAACAAAATTAGTTTAAACGAGATTTAAAAGAAAATTTAGATTTTTATAATTACATACATATTAGATATTACCTATTACATATTTTATTATATACATGCATACATACACAAGTTATTATTTATTTTTTAATTAAAACTGATTTTTTGTTTATTATGTATATCAGGGTGGCCTTTAGTTAAAGGCGAAGAAAAAAAAGTAAAATATTTTTGATTTCTCACCACCTCATTTTATTCATTATTATAAAAAAGAAATTTGAGTTAAATTGTAAATTGTAAAATAGGGTCGGTATGTCGTTTTTATAATATAATCAATAAACTATTGCACTTATTGTAAAAATGCACATTAATTATAGATACATATTTATATTTTTAATAAAAAACATATCTATACAATTTTTCATACATCTATTATTTTATATGAAAAATTATAAAATTAATTTTTACGGTTTTTTAAGTATATCGTAATAACGGTTGATTATACGACAAAATATTCTATGTAAGAATGATAAGAAATTAAATTTTTTTTAAAAAAAAAGTAATTAAGCAATAAACTTCGTAATAACAAGTTTAACTATATTTTACATAAGTGTATCATATAAATGATGATATGAATATTACCTTTTATCGCATAATAATAGCTGAAAAAACTCGTCAAATTCGTAATATCAAACTCCAAACGAGGGCGTATTTTAGGGGAAAAGGGGTGGTCGCCCCCTCTGAATCTGTATTTAAGGAATTGATTATATGTGAAGTACCTACATATTTCAAATTCTTTTAATGTGGATCATTTTATAACGAAATTAAATGACGCGTTGCTGTGAATACTGAATTGGGCTTTTTGTTAGGTTCATACTTAGTGAAAAGTGTTAAAAAAGAACTACACAAAAGCAGAATCTAAGTGGATCCGGCATTAGATTAAAAAAAAAAAAAAAACCACAAATATTGAAGATTCACCTGATTTAAATATGACCAAAAATTTTACTTGTACATTTTAAGCCTCAATTAAAGAAAAAATTTGAGTTTCCTTTCCCTAGAAGTAGGTCTAAATACACCTTTGGCTCCAAAATAGTAAAAATTCGTTGCATTGCGAGCATATTGACCAAAAAAACTTCGTTATATAGAGAGGATATAATTATATTTCATTTTTCGTTATTTATCAAGGGGATAACTGTTTTATTCGTTATATCGAACTTCATTGACTGTATTTATTAAACATTTTATAATTAATTTTATTTAAATGTTGTTAAAAATAAAATATTGATAAATTACACATGCAATTAATATATAAACAATTGTTTTGAGTGATAATTATTCATATAATAAATAATTCCATATCAATGTCATTTTTCTTGGTCAATTTCTATTTTAACTTTTCTCGACTAAGGCTTTCCTCCGATTCAGATGATTAAAATGTCTCTCTTTTTTTATTACATGTTTGTTCATAAATACCTAATATATATATAAAATATTTTTTAAATATTTCAAAAATTAATTTTTAATGCATTATTGTTTTTATAGAATATAGTAAATTAAAAAAATATAGAAAAATGTATAATTATAAAAGTTTTTTCATATCATAAGTATCAATAATATTCATTGGTGCAACTAGGTTTTTAGCACTATTGTTTTTTTTAAGATCTATATAATCTAGTGTAATAACATTGAACCATTCAATTTTATTTTTAGCAATTTCAGCACCTTCAATATTTGGACTCTAGTTGTGCTCATAATAATAATTACAGGATATAAAAACCAATTGGGTCTTGGATTGTTAGCTTTCATAAGCATTTTATTAATGACTCTAGATTATTTAGATATTTTATAAAAATTACTTCCA